TTTCTTCAAATAAATTTTCAATTCAAGTTTTCTCTACTAGGCCAATTTGACTATTTTCTCTGTCGATTCATTTTGAAGAGGGACCAAAATGAAAAATTGCAAGTTTAATATTGAAATTTTTTTACAACCTTCAAAGTGAATATTCTAGATGAAAAGCTTATACTTGTCATGTAAGATTTTCGTTGATTAGGAAAACAAATTTTTATAGGAATGTTACGTTGATATTAAAATGATCAGTCAACTCATGTTAGTATATATTGTAGAAAGATTAATGATCAGTGTTTTTTTTCAGGTTCATTGATCAAAGCGGATTGGAACAAACTCAAAATTGTGACAACTTAAAAAACTTTTCAACGCGTCTGTGCTCGTGAATAATGGTAGAATTTTAACTTTAAAAATATTTTAACGAAGTAGTTAAAGTCAAAGTAGGGATTTTGTTTTTTTTATAAACCTTGATCAAAGGTTTTTAGGATCGACGAATCCGAATCTAACATTGGTTTTTCAAAATTTTGAAAAAACAATCTCAAGTTCAGATTCCTTGGACTCGAAGACCTTTTGTTCAAATTTTTAAAAAATTCACTTTTTTCTTAAAAAAAGCTCTTGCAAGAGTTTATCGTATGTTCTCTCGTTTGAAAATTATGCTTTCTGAAACAGAAGAGACTGGATCATTTAATTGCTGTCTTATTAATATAATTTTCTTTTGTGTAAATGTTCTAGGTTGAAATGTCAAAATAATAGAACTAAGAAAAGATAGAACTATTATGGAGTTATATAGTAATACAGTATCTCTATCTGTACAAAGAAAAGCTTCTAATAAAGAAACAAAGAATAATACGAGATTCAACAAGCCAGAAATTCTACAAAATATAGATTTCTGAAGTCTCCAGTCATATTCTAGATTGCTATAGACACAGGTAGTATTAGTTAAAATATACATTGAAGAATCTAAATTCTAATCTATGCATTATGAAATGAGAAAAAAAATGACTACGCCTTATAAATCTGTAAACTGAGTAATGTTTGTTTGCACAGATTCCTTAGAACATCAGACTTAAAATTTATTTATTAACATATTCAATCAAAACAGTTTTTTTTTATTCTACTTTAATGTTATTTTATTGTTTCTAATCAAATACACATAACAAAATTGCTTTTTAGTCTCAAACAAGCATGAGTAAATCAATCTTTAGTGATAAAGACTAGCAAGATACGAATGATAGGCATACTTGTGTGTTTTTTATTACGTAGAATGACATCGACACTTACTATATTATGTCAAAATCGGTGTACGAAGATATATTTATTTATATAATGATCAGTCTCATATGAATAAAAAACAACAATGAGGGCTCAGTCTAATAAAAACAAAGAGCTTGGTTATTTAATAAAAACAAAAGAAGAGAAAACAAAAAATTATATGATATAAAAGTGACGCTAACACATTTTTATTAGAGTTTCTACATGATTTGTGCCATAACATGCAATGACAATGTCCATCCAACTGTCTTGATTTAAATCTTTGATTGCAATCGAGTACGGACGATATGCGTAGCCTAAAGTATATGAAGTCCTATTTCCAAAAAGTCCATTTCCATATCCATAAAGTAGAAATATATTATTAGTGCCAGAATTTGCAACGGCAATATCCAGTATATTATCATTATTAAAATCTCCAACGGCTATTGTGTATGGCTGAGAATGAGCACCAGTTGAGTATGTCGTTTGAATTGCAAACGTTGCATTACCATAACCGAGCAGAATAGCGATATTGTCGGTTCCAGAATTAGTAACAACAATATCCAACTGATTGTCCTTGTTAAAATCAGCTACAGAAACAGAATATGGAGCAGAACCAACTCCGGTTGAACATGTTGTAATGGTATCGAAAACTCCATTACCACGTCCAAGTAAAATACCTACATCGTCAGTACCATAATTAGCTACGACAATATCAGATAGACCATCGTTATTCACATCACCAATAGAAACGGCATGCGGTTGTGATCCAAAGCCCGTACTATATGATGTTATACCGGCATAAAGTTCCTTGCCATATCCGAGAAAAATGCTTACATCATTTGACTTTTCATTGACGACGGCAACATCTAGTCGAGAATCATTGTTAAAATCACCAATAGCTAACGCATATGGTGAAGATCCCAGACCAGTTTGATATGCAGTTCCTAGTAGAAAGCTCCCATCTCCAAATCCAAATAGCACAACAATACCGCTAGTTCCATAATTAGCGACAGCGAGATCTAATATACCATCATTATTAAAATCACCAGCTTCAACACATACTGGAGAAGAACCATCTCCAGTGAAAAATTCCGTGACAGGAGCAAAAGTACCATTTCTATATCCAAGAAAAATACCGACATTATTCATATTATAATTACTAATAGCGAGATCAGGTTGATTGTCTCCATTGAAATCTCCAACAGTTATCCAAGATGGCATAGATTGGTAACCCGTTGAATAGGTCAATTGACTTCTAAAACTTCCATTTCCATAACCTAAAAATACCGTGATACTGTCAGAAAAATAATTAACTACAGCAATATCCATTTGACCGTCATTATCAAAGTCATCAACGGCAACTGACGTTGGAGTCGCACCATTTTCAATCTGATAAGTAATTATGGTATCAAAAGTTAAATTACCACGTCCTAGTAGAATACCTATAGTGTCAGTATCAGAGTTAACCACGACAATATCTGTTCGACCATCATTGTTCATATCGGTTAAGGCGATCGCCATCGGAGTAGAATTATTTCCAGTTGAATATCTTATCATGGCAGTGAAACTTCCATTACCATATCCAAGAAGAATACCTATATCATTAGTACCTGAATTAGCAATGACAATATCCAATAGTCCATCATTATTAAAATCATGAACAGCCAATGATTCAGGTCGTGAGCCATTTCCAATTGAATAAGTCATCATAGCACCAAAACTCCCATTGCTATATCCAAGAAGAACACCTATATTATCACTCAAATGACAAGTAATAACAATATCTAGATATGTATCCTTGTTAAAATCATTAGTGATGATATTATGTGGTCTTCTGATATTCTCACTGGAATAAGTCTTCTGACTTTGAAATGTTGTATAATCAAACCCAAGAAGTATACCTATACTATTTGTACCTGCATTAGCAGTGATTAAATCCGGTCGATTGTCGTTATTGACATCACCGATAGCTATTGCCAATGGATATGAATCTATGCCAGTTGAATATACTCGTGGGATATCAAAACTTCCATTACCATGCCCCATAAGTATACTAATACTGTTATTCTTTGAATTTGCAGTAATTAAATCTAAATGATTATCTTTGTTGATATCACCAGCAAAAACATATCGTGGATATGAATTAGAACCTATAGCATAGCTTATTTGCGTTTCAAATGTACCGTTACCAGAATTGAAAATTACATCTAAAGTATCACTTCCTGAATTGACGATGGCAATATCTATATAACTATCATCATTGAAATTACCAACAGTTACAGAATACGGCTGTGGAGCCGAACCAGTTGTATATGTTTTTTGATTTCCAAACTCTGCTGCAACATATTCAGTTAAAATACCAACATTTCCAGTACCCCAGAGCGTTACAACAATATCTGTTTGATTGTTATTCTTCAGCTTTGCAGTGGCGATGGCATACGGACCAGAACCAAAACCAGTAGAATAAGTCCTTGCAAGTTGAAAACTGTCATTACCGTATCCATAAAAGATAATTATTTCGTTATTTGCAATATTAGTCAAGGCCAAATCATGTCGACCATCATTGTTAAAATCAGCAATAGCAATGTCGTAAATAGACGAAGTAGAACCGGTTGAATATGTTGTCATTTCTTGAAAAGACCCATTCCCATATCCAAGAAAAATACCAATAAAACCTCCATTTAAAGTAGAGAAAATAATATCCAAATGATTATCATTATTCAAATCAAAGAGATCGACGTTATTTGGACAAGAGTAAATATCAGTAGAATAGGTCACTGCATCAGAGAAAGTTCCATTGCCATGTCCAAGAAGGACACCCACATTGTCAGATTTGCAACCAATGATGACAATATCCAACTGTTTATCGTGATTGATATCACCTACAGCAATATATTCTGGCTCGACAAAAATATTAGCACAGTATGTCATCACGTTAGCAAAAGACCCATTACCATAACCAAGAAGAATACCGAAACCACCAGATCCGTATTTTGCAGTGACAACATCTAATCGACTATCGTTGTTGAAATCTCCAACAGCGACTGACCACGGGGTAGAACCATTACCCACAAAGTATGTTGTCATATTAGAAAAGAATCCATTCTCTTGTGCAAGAAGAATACTTATACTATCAGTACCATAATTTGCCGTAACAATATCCATTCGATTGTCGTTATTAAAGTCACCAATACAAAAATGATTTGGAGCTGATTTATTTCCAGTAGAATATGTTTTTGTTCGCTTAAAACTTCCATCATCATTACCAGTTAGTAAAAGTAAATTATCATCGTTAAAATTATTAACTAATACATCTAATCGATCATCATTATTAAAGTCATAAATAACGACTGAAGACGAGCGAGAATCTTTTCCAACAAAATAATTCGTTTGTCTTACTGATGGTTTTATAAAATATTGACTAAGTAAAAGTACATTATTAGTACCATAGTTGGCTATAGCAATATCTGATTGATTGTCATTATCAAAATCTGTCACAACGACAGAGAATGGATAAGACCCACTTATTCCATCATATGTAGTTGTTGTAGCAAATTTTCTATTATTATATTGTAGAAGAATATGTACTTGATCGTTTTCTGGATCAGCAACAACAACATCTAGTCGATTGTCCTTATCAAAATCACCAACAGAAATATAATATGGATGACAATTAGAGCTGATTGAGAACATTGTTTGTGCAGCAAATATGCCATCTTCATAGCCAAAAAATATACCAATCTGACCAGTGCCATAATGTGTGACTATAATATCGAGATAATTATCATTGTTGAAGTCTCCAACAGCAATAGAAGTTGGATTCGAATTCAAATTAGTTGTATATGTTTTTTGGTTTTTAAATGTTCCATTACCATATCCAAGAAAAATACCAATGTTATCTGTACCATAATTAGCTACAGCAATATCTAGTCGATTATCTTTGTTGAAATCACCAACTACTAATGCATACGGAAGAGAATCATAACCAGTAGAATAAGTTATTTGATGTTGAAACGATCCATTACCATTTCCAAGAATGATACCAAGAGTATTAGTACCATAGTTAGCTGCAGCAATATCCGTTCGATTATCATTATTAAAGTCACCAATAGTAATAAAAAATGGACGAGAAGAATTAAGCGAAAATACTTTTTGATCAGCAAATGTTCCATTTTTATTTCCGAAAAATATTCCAATATTATTGGTACCATAATTAGCAACAGCAATATCTAAATAAGTATCATTATTGAAATCATTAACAACGAGCGAATAAGGATGAGAGTCGAATCCAGTTGAATATATTTGTTGATTTGTAAAAGTATCATCATCTTGTGAAAGAAATATTCCAATAGTATGTGTACCAGAATTCGCCACAACAATATCCATTTTATGATCATTGTTAAAATCACCGACAGCAATAGATCGTGGTTGTGAATTGGTAACAATTGAACTTTTCATCATTCGTTGAAAAGTAAAGTCACATGTTTCTTCTGAAAATACACGATTTAAAATGAATTAAACATCAATGATTGATCATTATCTATTTGTCAATTATATTTTTTTCACTAATGGAAAAGTCTGATAAAAACAAATAACATAGGTATTAAGATGTTAGTTGATAGAATAAAATAAATTCTTAAGATATAATTTCGATTTTTGAAGAGACTTTCTTTTCAATAAATAAGAAATAGACTATTTTGAATTTAGCCAAATATAATTCTTTGATATTAGTAAAAGTCGAAATCAAACATCACTACTTTTATCATATAAAATATTAGTCCAAAACTAAGACTAGGAACATTTGAATCTTTCTTGCAATCAAGAAATTTCTCAAAGTTGCGAAAAATTTTTTTGTCAAATTTGAAACAATTGTCAAAAGATAATGATAGTGTAAAACAGATTTCAATCTTCTTATTTCCTTCAAAGAAAACAAAATTTAACTGAGAATAATTCTGTATATAATTTTTTCAACGCTATTAGAACTGCACTTGAATTGACCATAAAACTCAATTTTTTTTAGAGATCTCTTGGATGACGTTAATCAGCTGTCTTTGACTGCCTTACCAAAAAACAGTAAAATTTTACACAGAGAAAAACATCTTTCTATGAGCTCGCAAGTTCGACTTTGATTTTTTTTGTAGATGGCATTATTAAAAGCGACTATTTTGAGAGGCAGTTGACTTCATCAAGATGGAAAGTATTATTTTAATAGAAAAACTACAGGATGTCTGAAAAGTAGCTCCCTATTTTAAATCCTTGATTACTCTCAAACAAAAAAAAGATATTATAACGATTTTTCCATTGTTTTGCAGCATGTGTCATGAGATTTTGTTGTAGATGAAACAAGCCGATTGAACGTTTGACTTTCTAAGATCTAGTCTAAATTTCGTTTTGATAATATCTCAAAAAACTTATTATTTTGTAAAGGTTATTATTCTTGTACTAGAACCCAGGATGTTGGTGTGTCGGTTTAGGTAAATATTTTTGCACTGTCCAAACACATATCACAATGGCACATACACACCACACACCGATACGCATATCCACATTCACACCCTGGTTCTAGTACAAGAATAATAACCTTCACAAATTAATGAGTTTTTTGAGATATTGTCAAAACGAAATTTGGACTGGATCTTAGAGAGTCAAACGATCAATCGGCTTGTTTGATCTACAACAAAACCTCATGACACATGCTGCAAAATAATGAAAAAATCGTTACAATGTCTTTTGTTGTTTGAGAGTAATCAAAGATTTAAAATAGGGAGCTATTTTTCAGACATCCTGTATAAAAGACTTGATTAAAAATGTAGTAAGCCATTCGAACCGTCAGTTTTTTAATGAACAACGGTTAATCGTCAGGTTTCATTAATAGTTGACGACATGGGATGTTTCCGGTAAAAGTTTCAGCCTCATATATCAAACTAAACCGAACTCTCGACTTATCTATAGTTCATTGATGACTTTCAAGAGAATTCCTATAACTTTTTTCCTACAAAACGTACAGAGCTTGGAGGGATTTCAAATGAAAGCCGATATCTGGGCATAGCTTTTTCTAAACAGAATTTTGAAATTCGCTCAAGTCATTTTTTTTTATGATCATTCTAGTATGATATTATTCATTGTCATATGAAGAGTTCATTAAATAAATTTTCTCATTTATTTCTGATTGAATAAATAGTTCAAAGTAATCTTTGACTTATACGAAAAATGATTTTTATTTATGATAAATATATTTGAGATAAAGAATCTTTTTTCAAACTTAATAGACATCTCAATAATCATATCATTTATTAAAATAACAAATCAGGAACATACTTGGTTTGGGTGAAGTAAAACAAACTATCAGTACTCCAACAATAATTACTATGATGATGAATATTCCAAACAAACAGATATGCATGACAGTTAGTTTTCCGTACGAAGAAGACCTTTTTTTTATCAGAGAAGAAATGTTGATATGCATCAAATCAATATTGAAGAAAAATACATACGGTGGTTCGACACTTTTGTTGGAGTTGTTTTGTTTATCAAGATTATTTGATTCAGTTGTCTGACGAAATATGTTTGATGTTGTAATGAGTTCATCATTACGATGTTGGTTATCTGATGATAGTTGAGTATTCATAAAATTGACGTCGATCTTTAGTGAAGAAAATCACAGAAGAATACGATCACCAAATAACTAAAAACAACAAATTTAATTATAAAAAATTAAAAAAACCGGGTATAATAATGATGTCTTACTCAAGAACTACGTCATAAATGAATTAAACACATGTTTTCAATTACATAAACATTTGAGATTTAATATTTTCATCTGACTAGTAAATTTTTTCAAATGATAAATCTACAATAATTTATCTTTTTGTTGCTTTCTTTATAAGTGATCAAATTTTTGTAAGTTTTTGACTTAGTGCATATTATAGGAAGAAAAAAATCTTATCAAAATTCGATCTGACATTTGTATCATAAAAAATCGCATGACTCCTATCATACATCGAAAAGTTTAACTAAGACGAATGTTTTTTTTTCCAAAGATAAAAAATTTACAAGAAAACTAGATTTTTTTGTGAATCTTTACTATAATATGCTCGCTGTTTGAGAATCTGTCATTTTCAAAAACAAAAACTATGTCATAGCTGAAATTTTCAGTATATGAAAGAGTTTATAAGATGGCTTCATGAGAAAACTTTCAGATTAATATTGAGACATGAATTTTTTTCTGGGTTATCATGCATAAAATTATGAATTTAGTAAAATGGTCATACATCGAAAAGAAAGCGATAAGAGAAGAGTAATTTGGATTCTTCTATTCTCAATAGACTCTGTAATAATACTAATCTCGTTTCAAAAGTTTCTTATCATCTGAAGACATTTTCCTTATTAGTAACAATTTTACAGTCAATCATGTTTTGTTATTAGAAAAAAGTTTGATTATATAAAAGACATTAATTTGTCTGTAATATATAAATAACTAATGAAACTTACACTTTCAATTCTTTCTTTCCTCATGTTAGTTCTATAATTCCTTTTTTGTAATATATGTTTTTTTTTTATTAAGACCAATTATTAGAATTAAGTAAAACTATTTTGGATCCCATAGAAATGAGTTAAGTCAAAGAATAAAATATTTTCTAAAGCAAAACAAAAAAAAAAAGATTCCGGTGGACTTTTAATTTCACTATAAAATATTCTTGGTAATATTTCTAAGATGGAGACATTAAGAAACCGAAAAAAAAGTAGAAAAATAATGTTAAATTAAGTTTTGAACTTGAAATCAATATTCAAACTAGATTTGCAATATATATATATATATATTGATATTTACAGATTTATGCTATGAGAATATCTTTTTTAGAACGATATATCTACCATGTTCTTATTATTATGTTATGAATTTATATTACCTAACTACAAGAAATGTATAATTATATTTGTAATGATTTCGATCATATTAGTTATTCATATCGAATGTTTTTTTCCAATAATTTATACTCTGTGTCTAGTTCTTTGGAATCTGTAATAGTGACTTTTTTGTTTCGTTTAATGAACAATATTATTATACATATATACCTGTTTATTGTATATCTTGTATTCCACGAATCAACGAGTTTTTGTAACCTTGTTTCTCGTGATAGCTGATTTGTGAATATGAGAAAAAAAGGTTGATTCTCTTACTAATGCAAGTTATGCTTGACGGGCATTGATTTATTTTAATATTAAGTGTTTATTAACGCACGATTCTATTTGTGATAATTATTTGCATTTGCACATGGTAAACATTCTTCGTTATAGTGCACATAATGAGCAGAAAAGATGAATGAGAGGCAATTATAATTGCATTAAAAGAAAAGAGAATAATATTATCAACGTAGTACTCTGTTTGTTTCTAATGTAAACAACTACATGTTGATATACACTAAAATATTTTTTACATTTTCTAGCTTCATCGTTAATTATGCATGGCTGTTCTAAGGTGAAAGTCGAATATTCTTCTTACGTTGTTTTATTTCGGTAGGATCCTGAAAACTTTTCAAATTCACTATTTTTCATAACTGTATGGCAAACGACCACAAAAACAATACCTTGTATTATTCTCTACTGTCAACAGAAAATTTTCGTCATAACTGATGTGAATGAGATGTATAGGTCTACTCTTGCCGTACATATACACCTTCACTATGTCATCCAAGGAGTGCATATTTCGCAATGAGATGAAAGAATGATTCAAAAGTTTCGACCTCTTTAAGTAAGTCGATGATATTTATGACAAAACTATGTCGAGTCAATTGATCGCAATATATAATTTTATAGAAAAAGATTAGAGCTATCATCTGAAAAAAGACACTTCGAAGAGTGTAACGTATTGTCAATAATTGTTATTACTGTTATATTTTTTTTCATTTCTTGTCTGTAGTGTTTGTTTACTGATGAATAGTGCTCGGCGTGACCAACTTTTTTGGTCATGATCACGTCACGGTCACGGTGAGCCCAGCCCGTGATCGTGACTCACGGCTCTTCTTTCTGATTTCTCAACATGAAAAAAAGCTTTCCAGAAAGAGCTATTGCAGTTTTCCTAGGGAAAATCCTTGATGTTTCAGAACCAGCTCTTTGATGGATTCAGTCAGAATCCTTCCAGAATTCGCTCTTTTTTCATGAGGAAACGACGAAATCCTGAAAGAAGTGTGTAGCCACGGAATTTCAAGATTCTAGTAGGATTTGAAAAGGATTACATCAGGATCCTGAACAGGTTACCATTGTTGTTGAACTTGGAATAAATTAGAAAACAAGATGTAGTTGTGAATGTGAGTAGAATTTCTACTTGTATTAACTGACAAGAATAGCCACTGATATACTCTGTTGTTAGCTTTTTGTTGAGATACTGCTCAGTTTTAGCTGCAAAAGTTCACTGAGTCCTTGTATCAAGATCCGTATCGGATCTTGTCTAAAATTTGATAAAATCTTGACAGAATCCTCTCCATTATTCCTGTTAGGATCCTAAGCAGGATCATGAATGAATCCTTGAAGGAGCATCTATTCATTATCTACAAACACATCTGGCCAGGAACGCGAAGAAATCCTAAACAGGATCCTGTACAAGTGTGAGAAATGGTGTGGGGTGTTGGTGTGGGTGAAGCGACTAGTACCTACACCAACACCAACACCCACACCCTTTTATTCTTAGTACTAATGTTGATTAGTTGTTAATGTACTTCGAAATGCTACATAAATCATTCATCGAAGAAATGTGTTTACTTTATATTAAAATACAACGCCTTGTGGATGTTAATAAGAAAAAGTTCAATTTTTAATTCATTTAAAATTATAAATCGATAGGTTTGTGTATGGCATTGTTACTTATAAATCATAAAAGAGACCATAGTGTTTTTTAAAGACTTGATAGGTTAGGGTTTTGCAGATGCATTTCGCCTGTTGTATATGAACAGTAAGGTGCCAACAATGCAAAAGTTGAGTGCAAACAATTCTGATTTTATTCATACATCGTTCGATAAGGTTTGATATGCTGATCAATCATATATGGGTCTCGATTTTTTTCTATCCTCTTGTAAGTGAGCGAATTCAAAAATACTCAAACAGTGTAAAAACGGATAAAAATCGCTCATTTAGAAAAAATTCAAACTTTCTATCAATCTGCTTGCTTTAAGATTTCACGTCACTTTCTTTTTCTTATTTGTCATCTAAAACTGAGCTCAAAAGTCATATTTTATCGCATGTGGATCTGCTTGAGTATAAAGATGAGAGAAATACTCACAACCTCCATTCAAATTTTTCTTTTAGAAAAGCTTCCATTTTTACTAAAAAAACTTGCAGAAAATGGTAAATTCTCAGTCATATTCTCGAAATCAATAATTGAAGATGATCTCAACATTGCATCGAAATACTACGCAGCAACAGTTAGTAAAGTTCAGTCTTTATTCGGTCAATAGCAGTTCCACTTGAAAACGGAGTATTCTAGTATGTGAGTGCAGGTGATATGTAGCTGTGAGGGTTGGATGTTGCCAAATATGGGATGGCTATGACTCTTCTTTTCATTCAGGCACAGATCGACACATCCATATTTTACACCCAAGTGTAGACAAGAAACAGAAAATGTTTTATTTAACTGATTTGTACTGAGTGCAAGCGTATTCCATTGATTAATCCTAAAAGGCTCGGCAACCTTAGTAACGTTTTATTTAATGTTTGGTAACACTAAAAGTTACGAGCCATGATCAGGATACACTACTTGATAGAACTAACATCTCCCTATCTGAAATAAATGAAATGATAAGCTCGAAGAATGAATATTACAAGACAAACATTTTTTAATCAACAAAACTTTAAATAAATGATCTTGTAGAGCTTACAAAGCATCGTTCGTAGACATGATTAATTTCCAATTTAACGGAAACAATAACATGAACCTATCAATTAGAAATACCAAAAACTCAAGTTACAAAGATATTTTGAGTGCTCTACGTTTTAAACAGAAATAAATTTAGATTGATGCGATTGTTGAATTTTGTAAAATGATTCTCGACATTTTTCCAAAGAATTTTGCACCGAATATTATGTTCATCGTTAGGAACTTAAACTTTTACAATATTAATAGTAAATACAATATATTCGAAATAAGGTGACTAAGCTACCATGTTCAAAGTATCATCTTATCAATAATCATCATTGATTGATAATGAAAATACAATTTAGATGAGAAGAATAACAAGTTTGATTTTAAAAATATAAAGAATATTGATTTTAACATAAAAAAACCTGTATTTCTCGTTCAAGTTTTACTTGTTAAAGTCCATGAATACTATTCAAAAATATTGATAAAAACTCATTACAAAAAAAAAAAAAATAAACGTTGCAAGCTTAAAATCTATTTTCACAATCCTTCATTTATTTTAGCTTGTAATCGAACGAAAGAGAAAAAAATAGTTGAATCGCGATACAGTGAGAAGTACAATTGGGTTGACTCTCAATGGCTATGGTAAGTGTGCATAATTGCTTTAACACACATGTTTAATACGTTTCGACTAACTAATCGTGTTGCAGTAGCTTCATATTCATTGTATTTTGATAGGTTGTGTAAAGCACAAGTAAGTAATGAAAAAAAAGTAATATTCTTCGATGAAGAGTAAGATCGTAAAAGACATATATATTGAAATATATTTAGTTATAATATTTTTTAACATTCATACTTGGTCTAGTATAATAATCATAATATATAAAAATAGTAATTCATGAGCTTAAGAAAGCTTTCCATTAAATTTTGATATTTGTGGCTGAGGGCTTGTGTAAATTCAAAATCGTTTTATAAAGTAGATGTCTTTTGTGAGATATTTGCATTTTATTTCTTAGACAAGAATAAATCGTTTAAATACAATTTGTAAAAGTTTTCATATGGAATATTTTGAGTTATGTATCATTTGATAGACAAAAACAATCTTCTACATATTGATGTATATTAAAACCGTGAAACATATTGTTAGAATCTTAAAAACTTCAAAATACCTAAAGTTCTAAGGGTTTTACAGAGAATCAAAGTTTTTGAGATTCGATAAAATGAAAATCCAACTCAAAATGTATCACTTCATAGAAAAAACTACACTGAATCGAATCATATCTTTGATTTCTAAAAAAAAAAAAATCATTCAATGAAAGATATATTAATTGTTAATTAAAAGTAGTATTTCATATAGATCTTCTGATAATGGTGTTTTTTTAGGGTGAAAAATAAAATTCATACTTTTTTTGGACGATACTCCGTTGTAGAAAATGAAAGTTCTCTAGACAATGATATGGTTGAATGCACAATAATTATTTTTTGTGAATATATTAAGAACCTACCCTTTGAAGTATAATTTAAAGTGAAGGAAGAAAAAGTTTTCTTTTCGTTCTGCTAATGTGTATGCATGGCATATACGTATAGGTATATATTTTTTATTCCTTCATTCACTGACTCGGCATATACAGGGTACTTCAAAGTTTTGATCGAAACAGGCGCATAAGTATTTCTGTAAAACTTTCAAGCGATTTAGGAGGGCTTTTATAGCTTCATTTCATATAAATTTGTCTCTAATAGGTGTAAAAAATGATTATTTACGAATTCAATGAATAAACCTATCATAAGTGAAAAAATCCAAAAAAACATCATATAAAAATTATGTTGATCTTATTATTGATTTTCATTGTCTTCTTAATGATATATTTAGCAGACGTCATCGACGCATGAAACTATTGAGCTTATTATACAATCTTGAAAAATAAGTGTTCCTTATATGATATTAGGAAATCAAATGTTTGGATAATTTTTTTATGGTAACATTATTAATGAGAAAAAAAGATCTCATTAACGTTCAAACCTTTTTCCAGTCTCGAAGTACGAAGATTATGCTACATAAATTTCATTTTATTTCACAAAGATAAAATTTCCTGTGTTACATCCACAGTCTATTAATTTCTGAAGAATATTTCTCTGAGTAAGTGCAACAGAAGAGATAATTTATCATCATACGTATCAAGATCAATCAATTGAAATTGAAAATCAATAATAAGATCAACATAAACTTTATATGATGTTTTTATAGATATTTTCAAAAATAATTTCAATGAATACGCAATGAAACTGTAAAAATCTCACGTAAATAGCCAGAAGGATTTAAAGAAGTATTCGTGTTTTTTTTTTTTGATCGAACTTTTGAGGCACCCTGTATAAAGTAATAGAATAAAAACAGTTTTTTTTTCTTCACTTCAAATCATGCTTCGTAAGAAAGGTTCTTATTATATTCACAAAAAATAACTATTGTGCATTCAACCATATCATTGTCTAGAGAATTTTTATTTTCTACAACTCTCTATCGTCCAAAAAAAAGTATAAGTTTTATTTTGCACCCTAAAAAAACAAACATTATCAGAAGACCTATATGAAAGACTACTTTTAATTAACAATTAGTATGTCTTTCATTTAATGATTTTTTTTTGAGAAATCTGTTTTTTTCAGTTGGATATTCATTTCATCGAATCCAAAAAAGCTTAGATGCTTTGTACAATCTTTAGAACCACAGATATTTTTGAGTTGCTATCAAAATTTTTGTCAGTTCTAATACATATCAAAATGTAAAGAACTGTTTTCTTAGCCGAATAATATAGAACTCAAAATATTCCGATGGAGAAGAAAGGCATCATAAAAAGTAAATTACATGTGTCCGGCTATTTTTTTTTTTGCATATGAAGTCAAGTAGTTTATAGAAAATCTTACAAAATTTTATGAAAATCTCCTTAGAGGACATGTTTATTTTCGCATAAAACAAATAGAAACTTGGATCTGTCGAATGATTTTAGTTAGAGTCCAGAAAATAGTTTTCCCGTCGTTTAAGAAACTCGTTTCACAAGATAAGTATTACAGGATATAAGAATAATTATTTTACATGCTGTACATGCTAGACAAAAGAAAAACAACGTTCGAGAGAGATGAAGAATTCACATGGTTATGAATTTCAGAAAGAGAGTAAGGTATTTATTTGGCTAAAAATGAAGGCAAGGCTTACAGTCGTTCTCAAGCATTTTCTTGCATCTTTATTTTTATTAGATTAAATCTTATTGATGGCAAATATAAATATCGATCGATTGAAAACATTATTTCTACCACATGGTCTTATATATATTCTTTTGAGTTTAGTTATCATTTGTCTTCTTGTTTTAACTATTGTCTATGCTGTTTTATGGCGTAACAGTCAAACTTCTTCTACCAGTATTTATGCAGTTGCAAATGGAATTATTGGTTATCCTATTGATTTACCTAATGATGGTCGATATGTTCAATGGAGTTTTTTACAAATGAATGATGTTTATGAATTATTACCACTTGATGGAGGACGAAAAGGTGGTTTATCTCGTGTTGCTTATATACGAAAATTATTAAAACAAGAAAATTCTAATACTTATACAATTCTTTCTGGTGATCTTCTTTCTCCATCTGCTTTAAGTGTATCAATAGTAAATGGAACAGCTTTAAGTGGAAAACAAATGATATCAACAATGAATACACTTGGACTTGATTTTGCAACATTTGGAAATCATGAATTTGATTTATCTGAAAAAGATTTACTTACTCGAATGAATGAATCAAAATTTACTTGGATTAGTACTAATGTATTTCGTCTTGATAGTAATCAAACATTTGGATCAAGTATTTCATATAAAATAATTACTATTGATACTGTTCGAATTCTTCTCATTGGTTTAACTATGGATGGAACTGGTAGCTATGCTAGAATCATCAAACGATCATCATTAGTTAATTATGTTCAAGAATTTTTAAGATCATTACCAAATACAACATATGATGTACTTGTTGCTATAACACATTTAGATATGGAAATAGATATTGAACTTGCTTCAAATATTCCACAAATTAATATTATTATTGGAGGACATGAACATGATAATTATTATTATCTAAGAGGAACAAAATATGTACCAATTTATAAAGCAGATGCTAATGCTTTTACTGTTTATATACATCGTTGTGCTTATAATTTAGATACAAAACATTTTCGTGTTTATAGTATATTAGCACAAGTGACATCTGAAGTACCAGATGAAGAAAATACAGCTGCAGTAGCAAATTATTGGTTTAATTTAGGTATGGAAGGATTTCGAGCATTAGGCTATGAACCAAATGCTGTTGTATCATGTTTACCTGCTGGTATTGAACTAGATGGAAGAGCTACATCTGTTAGAAGTTCTATAACACTTTTAACTGAAGCAATATGTGAAAGTATGTTACAATTAACAACGAAAAATTCGACAACTATTGGAGTTATTAATGGAGGAGCAGTACGTATTGATGATATTCTTCGAAACAAAATTACACAATATGATGTCATACGTACATTACCTTTTAGCAGCGTAGTTGTTGTTCTTTCTATTCCTGGTCGATTACTTGCTCAAGTTCTTACTACTGGTATATCTTTGAAAGGAAATGGAATGTATCTTGCTTATACTAGAGTAGAAACATCAGATGGTGGTAAAACATGGTTATATAATGGAACAGATATATCAACAAGTGATCTTTATTATAATGTAGCAACAATAGATTATGTACGTAATACTACACAATTAAAGAGTAGAAATGTTACCACATTATATAACACTAATATAACACTGGCAAAATGTTTATTAGAATATTTAAAAATCAAATATCCTCCTTGTTAGAACAGAGATTTAATATTTTATAATTGAAAAAAAAAGTGTCAATGAACTTTGTTTGTAATATGTATTTTTTTTTTAATCTAATATCAAAAATATCATTTTCATAATAAACAAACCCAAAAAAATCCTTGTATTAAACTGATAGCATAAGAAATAGAATGACCTCTAATCGTTTATAAGTACAAAAATAATCAAATGAATGGAAGTATCATATTAGAAGAAACATTAAGATAACGAAATAATTAGATAAGTTTTCAAGAAAGAATCCAATTCAATACGATATTTGATTTCGTGTGCTATGTAGTGTACTGGGCGATCATCAAATGCACTATCATGCATCATCCTGATCGCAGCTAAGAATTTATAATTACGATTGTAGATGTGAACGTAGGGCGTTTGGGAGGTGCGGGACAGAACATCTATACCCATGCACTTTGAAAATATTTCCGTTGTTAGTGAGAAAATGGAACTATTTGAGCTGAAGACCAAAACCTTGCTAAAAATTTGCCTGAAATCCAAACGTTTTACCTATTTGACGATCACAAAACAGCAAAGGGAGCCGCATATTCGAAATCATCCCTCAAGACTGCATCAAATCACATATATAGTTCATCAGACAACTCAACCCACCAAAAATTCATCCGAAATTGATCACAGGCAACATTTTTCGACAAAGTCACCTGATGGGAAGCACGTGAATTTCTTATAGATAAAGTTTTTCGATGAAATGTATGTAATTCAATGCAGCTGTTAAAGCTGATTCTGAATATGACGTTTATATTGGTGTTTTCTGAGATTTTAATAAGCAAAATGGATGAGTTTTCGGTGAGATTTTGCAAGAGTTCGTTCGCTAGATCGAAGATTTTCATTTTCTTGCTAATAACACAAAAGCTTCTAACATTAAATACGTTTTACTAAAATCCGTCATCATCAGGTTCTAGTACATTTAGACACTTGGTTGCATTTCTTAGTACAAAAACAAACTAGAGAAGTTTTTAGCCTCAGGTACTAGCTAGAATTCTACGGAAACGATTGCTTTCTGCTTCGTTCCCCTTGAAAATCACGTTGTTTTGTTTTATTTTTTTAAAGAAAGGTTTGCTAGCTAAAAACAAGTTAAGCTATGTGAAAAAGAATGATTTTTGCAAAACACAAATGAATATATCGCTTAAGATTCTTGGTATAGGAATCCATAAAAATAATTTTGGTTCTGGAAGTTTTATAAATGATCTTTGACACTATCTGGAGAAATAATGACATCAAGAGTAATCAGTAAGATTTTTTTTTGTCCGGTCAGATTTGAAAAATCAACAAATATTTTTCGGAGATAATGAAATCTTTCACATCTCAAAGGCACATTTTTGAGATTCCCTATAGTTCAAGGGTGTGGATGTGATTCTTCTGTTCATCCACATGCTACGCACATCTACTCCCAATACCCATACCATTCAATACATGTTGTAAATAAAAATAAAATACTATATTTCTTATTAATTACTAATAAAAACGAACATTCAATCATTATCATTCTTTTTTAAACTGTAGAACAACAAATAAGTTTTAGAAAAAATAACTTATGACTGTTCTGTTTTTACTATGCTATTCAACGGCAAATAGTGGCATCTACCGTGATGTACGTTATGCGAGGACAGTCTGATCTATAACGATAGGTGTTTCAATGGACATGTAATATATTTATATATTGCTTTCATTTTAAGTAATAATACAAAAAAAAACCATCTTTCCCATTTTTCTCAAAATTGATTTTCCAATAATTATTCAACTGTCGACAAATTTCTTTTCAATACACTTCGTTCCAGATATCTAGGATTTCTTTAATCGACAGAAATATGCATGACCCTTCGGACGAGGGGAATAGTTTCCCCAATAAATCATCAATGCTATGTAAATTTTAATTTTTCCAGAAATACATGCCAACCACTTTTAGGTTTTTGAGATCTCGGTGATCCAGAAAATCAAACAAAGCAACAATTAAAAAATCTTTCCCGTCATTTCAAATGGTGTGGGTGTAGATGTGACTGTTGACACTAACATTCTTTTTTAACTTCACCCACATCATACTCATACTCTAGCTGAATCAGCCGACATCCTTTT